CTTTGACACCCTTTATCTTAAAAAACAGACTTTCGGACACAGGTTTGTATGAACTTTTATACTTGATTCAAAAATGCGCCCTTGGAATTACGGCCTATTATTAAGTTATACCTACCCTGTGTAACATTAGAAGGAACAAGTATTTATAGAAAGTATATAATGTAAGGGGTTTTCTCGCCACAGAGAAAACGGTTCCTTACGAATGACGCTGGTTACGGGCGGTTCTCGAGCGCCAGATTTTTGATGATGGTTTACTCCACAAACTTTCGAAACGGCGTCGAAAGTACTCGGGTAGCTACAGATGGAGATAAGAAATTCCAGGGGTCAAAGGTCACTTAGACACAGGTAATAGTAGGCCACAAGTAACGGGCTTTAATCGTTGCTTGGGCTCGTACAGAATTTATCACTAGCTGAAATATAAGGGGGAAATAAAGTAGGGAATTATTAACCAGTAATACGGCAGGTTAACATTGACACATATATTGTGGTTAACTATTTACAACAAAAAAAATAAATACATATTTCAACGCCCACCCCAGTTGTGGTGATAGTCAATATAACCCTGAATATAAAAAAAAAACAAAACGGACGGTATTAATTTGCGACTAGTCTCAATCAGACGTCAAAATTAAATCAAAGTAAAATATATGTCTCGATCGCAGGGAAAAAAATATTAATTTGGTTATTTACTCGGTAAATAACTGTTTAATCGCGGTATCGGGAATTTAAACTCAAATGTAGTTATTTTGCACTTTACGTGAGGAAAAATTAAATAAACGGTCGAAGAGAGTGTGAGGAGACAGGGACGCGAAAGAAAAACTTATAGTAGATACACGGAAAGAAAATGAAAATAAATTTATACCCGGGATAGCCTATTATCCCAGAATGAGCTGATCGTCATCACGAGCCCGCTCCAGACAGGGTAATGAAGCTATTTTTAAATTCTGCAAGTTGCAGTTTGCACGAAAAAAAAAATGAAGAACATAAAGGGGAAAAAGAAATCTAACGCGGATAGCCCCTAGTCCAAGAATGAACTGATCGTCATCACGAGCCCGTTCAGACACGGAAAGGACACTATTTAAAATTATTTAAATTGTCGAAAAAAAAAAAAGAAAAGTAAATTATTATCGGAGGGAAGAAAATTTACTAACGCGGATAGTACCTACTCCAAGAGTGAACTGATCGTCATCTCGAGCCCGTTCAAACAGGACAGGATACTATTTAAAATTATTTAAAAATTGCGGTTTACAGATTAACTCCAAAAAAATATATAACGCGGATAGCACCTACTCCAAGGGTGAACTGATCGTCATCACGAGCCCGTTCAGACCAGGACAGGATGCTATTTAAGATTATTCAAATATACGGTAAAAGAAATAAACAAATTATTAAAAGAGGGAAAACGTCTCCTCGAAAACTCCGTTTATAAATATTATCAACTTAATTACAACGCGGTACCTACTAAACAAAAGTATTTATGAATAAAGTCAAATTTAAATCCCGATTTAACCTATCAAAAGAAAATGAATAATTTCTTAAAACCGACTAACAATCAAAAGTCTAAAATCCCCGTTTTACAACCTTACAGAATTAAATCCTATCATTTAATATTTAATTTAAATTCTATCCCTTTTTAAAGAAACGGAATATTTGTCAAGAAATAAATTCAAATGTTTTTAACTAAACCCTATTTATAAAAACAAAAGAAACGGTATCATTTGCTAAGAAACAAATTCTATTATTTATTATTTAAATCAAATTAATTCTTTTAACTAAACAGTATCTATTAAAAATATTCCTATTCCTACAAACTAATTCGCTATTTAAAATGAAATACCGTTTCAATTGCAAATGTAAAAAGCGGAACAGGGTTTTTTACCTAACGGATTCGTAAATATTGAAAACGGAAAAAAATATCGGCGGTGTTTAGATTTCTACTGCGGCTTATCGGACTAAACTGCTGGCAATCAAAATTTATATCGAACTGATAATTTTAATAGCATCTCCGCTATCGTTCAAACAAATGTCCCTCTCCCAATCGAAAATCCCACTTACGTTCAAAGCTATCGCGCATCGAGACTTCGAGTGGCGTTCGCGCATCTGAAAATTAGCAGTTCAACCGCGATTAATATTTATTAATAATGAAAAATGAAAATAAATTGATTGAGAAAAATTGACTTCATTACAATAAGAAGGCATCCATTAATTGCGTGACGTATTTTTGAAAATTTTTTGACCCCCCTTCCCCCTTGGTGAGATTTCATAAGATTTTCCTTAACTCCCTCCTCCCTCCCCTAATCTCACGTGAGATTTTTCAAAAATTGTGTTTTGGGTGTAAATACGTTGGATTATTTAAAAAAAAAAAACGAAACACAATATGTTCTATTACTTTTATTTAAGACTAGCAAAGACTAGTATTTGAGAATATTGCCATAATATAAAATTTCTAGAAATATTCGTTACTTTAATTTAACTTTACTTTCACGCAATTTTACCCCGTTTTCTACTTAAAAAAATTACGTCAGATTCTAAAAGACCCCCTCTCCCCCAAGTAATATGATCCCCTCCCCACTTGAACACCTCACGTAATTAATGGACGCCTTCTAAGCGTATAGTGAAGAAATGTATTCAATCTAGAGTTATTTTGAAGTTAAAAAATAGTTATTTGGATATAATATCAGATAATTTTCAGTACCTACTATATGCTGATGATCTAAAAATATATGCGGAGAAACGTTTAATTGATGGTTGCAGAGAACTCCAGAAATCTTTAACCCTAGAGTGGTATCGTACGTAAAATTTACGTGTGGTGAAAGTGGCGAAAGGGCCCTCTCCACTAATTCTTTTGAGCTTTCAGCAGTGCCTCAGGAAACATCCACTTGTGAAGATTTCTAGGTGTCAGAGTTGCAACTATTTAGCAAAAGATGTGGCTTGATTTTGAAAAGTATACACGTAAGAAATACGCGTCGATACCAATAAGCAGTTATTTATTGTACGTTTATCTGACGTGTCGCCAAGCTTAAAATTTTAGGCTTCGCTTATTTCTTAACGACTGTCGCTGCAAATGGCCCTATGTGTCTTTTACAATATGATAAACATGGCTTGCATGAATTCATACATAATTCAGTCACACAATGTTGAAGCATTAGGTTGTAAAACTTTAACACGTTTTGAGTACTTCACAAAAGTCTTATTAAACCATGGCAATCACAACGTTAACAAATAGGATACCTAAGTACAGTAAGTGCAATAGATATTAAAGAAACCTTTTTACCCAGTACAAATATCAAAGAGGAGGGGATCAAAAAGGGACCTTTGCCACCTTTGTCCTACATTAAAGGAAAGAATGGCAACTACGTACTGCGTAAAATGTACCAAAACAGTATATGAAGAATACCAAATAAAAATATGCACGTGCTTCAAAAAAATCAAATGAAAAAATATTCTCTTTATTTTTAAATTCAGATACTGTAATTTTAAAATATTGTTTTGTTATTAAAATATGGTAAAAACACTATTTTATGTTCTGATAAAAAAAACTAATGAAACAGGTAATGTTACAAAGTGTACATGTAAAAATTTGCGAATGCGTAAATTTTACGTGTCCATACCAACAAGCGGTAGAAATTAAAGGATACCGTTCTAGGGTTAAAAAGTGGTGTGAATCAAATACTTTGCCTTTGAATCCATCTAAGTGTAATACTATGACATTTAGCCGAACAGTAAGCCCAATAGTATTCGACTACAGTTTAGATCAGCCATACTCAACCTGCGGCCCGCGGGTCGCATGCGGCCCTCCAAGCTGTTCTGTGCGGCCCTCCAAGCTTTTTGGTGTGACCTCAAACAATTATTAGTAATTGAAGTGGTTGACCTATAGTCCTGTCCTTGCGACTTTTCAAAGCAATAACACAACTAAAACAACATGAGGACCTTTTTTTAGAACATTGTGGCCCATGTAGCATAACAAACAGATTTATGTAGCCCGAAAGAAAAAAAGGTTGAGTACAGCTGGTTTAGATGGTACCATAATTAATAGAACTGATTGTATTAATGATCTTGGTGTGATACTTGACTCAAAATTAACTCTTTCCAAACATGTAGACAAGATTATATCGACTGGTAGCAAATTGCTTGGTTTTGTTATAAGAAATTGAAAAGAGTTCAATAGCTTAGAAACTTTAAAACTTTTGTACCTTTGTTTTGTTAGATCTAGATTGGAATATGCCAGTGTAGTTTAGAACCCGATGTATAATATTTATATTAACAACCTTGAAAAAAATTCAGAGACGGTTCATGAAGTCGGTCTCGTACATTTTGGATGGTCAATATCCACCTAGAGGTTTTCCACATAGACGATTTGCTATCAAGATTTAATTTAACGGAACTAAAATATCGCAGGGCATCACATCAATTGCTCTTCCTATATAATCTTTTACATATTAAAGTGGACTGCATTGAGCTAATGAAATATATATCACTTAGAGTTCCTAGACCAGGACTATGAATTTGTGTAAGTTTTCAACTAATAATTGCTAGGACTAACACTTTATCTTCTTCGCCAATGCACCAAATGGTAAAAATTTATCACGATCTGGAGGATCGCCAAAATATATTTTGTACTATGCACAAAAAAAAATAAAATCAATTCTTAATCTTAATGAAAATTAGTATCATACAATTATTAAGATTTTATTTTTCCTTTTTTTATAACTGTTTTATAGAACTTTTGATCCAATGTGTCAAAACCTACTTATTTTAATTTTCAAATTGTAAAATTGTAAAGTATTTTTACAGACTGTGTTTTTTTTTTTCAAGCGTATGTCTGTAAATTATGCACAACATATTTTGATGCTTTTTTGTATTAATGTTTCATGTTTTGTTTTTTATACATTTTCCCGTCACCCTGTAATTCGCAATTAAATGTAATTATAAATAAATTAATGGGATTTGTTCTCAAGGATTTTTACGATAAAATATTTATTCTATTATTAACCATTTACCTCTTCTTATAGTTCCTTGGGCTATCATAAACCCAGCTTGATCAGCTCCGTTTATATCCCTGATGGGATATCCCATTTCTAAGCCTGCTTCCAAAAACGCTACAACTAACGGCGTCCTCCATGGAGATTCTTGAACCGTCAACGGTCCGTCTTTACCATGATAAGGAGTTTTAACTAAATACGGGTTTCTGTTGTCTTCGGACTTTTTAAAGTAATGCAGAACGTTTTCATAGTTCCAACCTGGATTTCCTGAAAGAAAAAGATCAGAAATAGAACACTAATAATCGTCTAACTAGCTTAAAACAATTATTAATTTATTAACTAAGAATCTCTTACCCATTTGCTCCCATAGCTCGTAATCATGCTTGTTTCCTCTTACATACAGCATGTAATTTAAGACACTGGATCCGCCAAGAACTTTTCCTCTGGGCCAGTTGCATTGACCATTTCTCATTCCCAAGCACGCTCTACCTGTGTATTCGGTTTTATACTCCCAGTCCATTTTTGAGAGTTGGAGGTAAGCCGCCAATGATGGTACATCGCTTACTTCGTTTTCATCAAAGCCAGCCTCCAAAAGAAGAACCTTAAAAAATATGAAAATACTGTGATTAGTTTGCCAAATTGCTTTTATAGATGGAATTTCTAGTAATGTTTCGTCTAAAGTTCTTTCGACAGCTGATCGCTGAAAACAGCATGGTTTTCTCTAAGAGGATATCAGAAGTCTGTTTACACAGTTTACTCTCTCGATTTAGTTTGGGAAACGCTGTTTTAATGTATTTAGTAGAAACGTCTAGTGGAGTAAAATCGACCCTGAAAATGTGAAATTTTTTTTTGAGAGTACACCACATAGGTTTTTTAAAGTAAATATTTTTACATACGAAATTTTGATTAACGATATTTTTTTGCGTTCCATATTTTTTTATTTCAAAACACAACAAAAATTGACGATTTTTAAAAATTCCTTTTTTTATTTAACATTGTAATAATTCTAAAACCAATTGAGATATCGACTTAGTTTTCTTTTGGGTTAAAGTACAAAGAAAACTGGTTCTAATAGTGCTAATTTTATTGTTCAATATGGTTTAGAAATGTATTTAAATAATGAACAAAATATAAATTCCGTAAAAAAATGAACAAACTTTCTTATTTGTAAAATTTTTGCAGTACATGCAGCGAAGCAAATAAGCATAAATCATTTAAAAAGTTTTTGAAAAAAAAAATTTGAGCTGCGATTTGCCGTTTTGAGTTTAGAATTAATTTATTATATATGCCAACGCGAGCTTGATACATTCAAGCTAGATGCCGAATTAAATATAGTACACGGAAAAAAATGTGACTAGAAAATTTTACTACAATGTTGTAGTAGTAGACTTGTAGAAAAATACTTAACAATTTGTAGAAAATTTTACTACAATTTATAGTTAAAAACTATTCATTATTGTAGCAATTGAGTTGTCGAATAAAATGCTACAACAATAATAATAATAATAATAATAATAATAATAATAATAATAATAATAATAATAATAATAATAATAATAATAATAATAATAATAATAATAATAATAATAATAATAATAATAATAATAATAATAATAATAATAATAATAATAATAATAATAATAATAATAATAATAATAAAACGTCTTTATTAAAATTTTTGAAAATTACAAAAATGCAATGTAAGGGCGAGATTTAGCCTACAGCTATTCTTCCATCTAACCCTTTTAGTAACAGGATCGATAAATAATATTATAAAAACAAAAACTATAATAAACCTATAATAAAAATAAAAAAAAAACAAACATTTAACTAAACTGTTAATGCAAATAAATAATAATTGAATTACATATTAATAAATTAAACTAAAAATAACACAATTTGTATACACAATTTAATTTGATCATCGTTGTTGACGAAGCAGGATATTTTTGAGCTTACGCTTGAAACCAGTATATGAATGGGTATTCTTTAAATCATTGTCAAGTTCATTGTAATATTTAATAGCACAGTAAGAGAAACTGCGTTCAAAAATAGCATGTGTGTGGCGGGGCATTGTTAACGTGGATTGCTCACGTACATTAATATTATGCATTTGATTTCTGTAAATTAACCTACGAGAGAGATATATTGGACTTTGAGTGTGTATTATTTTGTGCATCAATGATAGCAAATGATACTTATACAGATTACTAATATTTAGCCACCGAAGTTCTTTAAAGCTTTGGGAAATATGATCATATTTGCGTAAACCAAATATGTATCGACAACATGTATTCTGAATTTTTTGAAGCCTTATAGATGTTATTGAATCTAGACAAGGATAAAAAATTATATGACAATAAGAAATTTTGCTAAGGATTAGAGTTTCACATAAGTATTTTTTCATATTCATTGAGAGCAAATCTTTATTAGCGTATAGAAGTTTGAGAATTAGATAACATTGAGTGGACAAACTGTTGATATGTTCAATAAATCGAAGATTCTCATCCAGTAGTAAGCTCAGACTTCTGGCTACATGTACCATAGGAATTGTCTCATCATCAAGTTTTATGGAAAAATTATTTTTAATATAAGATCGAGATTGGGCATTAGAAAATATGATTGATTTGGATTTTGATGGATTTAAATGCAGATTATGATCCAAGGAAAATGTTTTTATTCTAGCTAGGTCCTTATTAACCGCTTTACTTGCTACCTCTGCATTAATGGAATGAAATGAATGGTGTAGTTGGGTATCGTCAGCAAAAACAATAGGAAAGAATTCCACAATGTTTAGTATATTTTATTATTGTTTGTAGAAGTAGAAATTTATTACAATTATCGTAATTACTACTAACTTCTGAAAAAATTTGTACAAATATTAATAATTATCTCTACAAAAAAATAGTAATTTTCTCTACAAAAAATAGTAATAATTTACATCCCTTCTTATGAAAAATATTCAATTTTGTTCAAAAATATTCTATAATATTGTAGAAATTCTAAGTCATGTGAACAAAACAGAATTCTGCTATTGGCCAACGTTTTCTGACGTCGATCATAAATGGTCAGACAGCAGTAGCCGTTCGCCATGTTCACATAACAAAGCATGGAACATATACGAGTACCTATAACACATTAGTATATTATAATCACCGATGCGTTTGAGAAAATTTTAATAATAAATTCTATTGGTGGTAAGTACATTTATTATTGTTTCTGAATAATTTACCTTTAGATAACTAATTTAAATTAACTTAGTAGATTATTTAAAAAAAAAATAGTTGTGGCCAACGATCGAATGTTGTGCCCAACGATCGAATTTTGTGTCAAATTCAATGATGTTTTTTGTCTTAATTGTGACATACCTACTTTCTCATTTTTGGTAGTTATCTGACTTAGTCATGTAATATCCAAATCAGTGTAAAGGTGATAAATATCCCCGTTTTAAGGGTATGAACAGTTCAATTGTTATTGATTTTTATTGCATATTTTTCAGGTGCAGAAAAGCCAGCTGAGACTGAGAGTGCTATTATTACTGTTATTTATTACATAACGTAATTAAGACTTTGTATATTTTATATTAAAACAATAAATTAAATATTTTATTAAGGAACATTTTTTTCTAGGTTATAATTATAATAATTATGGAATACTACTACAAGTTTTATTAAAAATTACTACAATTTGTATGAATTTTTACTATTTATTGTGTAAAATTTTCGTATTTATTTTCATAAAAAGCAATACATTTTTAATATAAATTCATACAATGAATAGCAAAAATTATAACATTTTATAGAACATTCTTATGATGCATTTGGATATTTTTACTAAATATTGTAGATAATAACTCTACAATACATTCTCCACAAATATTTGGAAATTTTTACTACAAATTGTCCCTGTCCCTATATGTACTATTTATTGAAGAGAAAAAATCTATAATTGTAGAAATTTGTTCTACAATTTTTTTTCCGTGTAATAGTAATAGTTTTCTTTTTAGTGCTTAACACACTGAATCAATTTGTTTAGGTATAAATATTTTAGGTTTAGGAAGAAAAATATAATATATTAATGAAACTAATACGTAAATAATAGTTATTTATGCAACAAGTGCAAAAAGTAAGTGTTGCATACAATATTTTTTCTACGTTCATGCAAAAACCAAAAAATGTTTTATAGAACTGCAGTTGTATTATCCAAATCATAGTAGCCGTGATCGTGTACCTTTGTATAAGGCATTTATTTACGTTTGTGTTCATAATTTGTAATGACATTTTTTTATTAATTTATTTATTAAATGATTGAAAATAATATAAAATATGCAATTGTTTTTAAAACGTAACACAGAGAATGAAAATGGACTAAATATTTGGCGTTGATTTGAATATTTATGTTTGTCATGATCATAAAACGCTGTAGTAAAATGACAGATGAGTGCAATAAAGACCCAGTTTTTTCACTAAATATAGTTCAATAAAGTTTTTTTCATGAACGTAGAAAAAATATATTAGAATACATTTTCATCATCATCCGATTCATCTACACAGTCCAGGGAATTGCCACATTCAACACTTTTGCAAGCATCGCAACATTTTAGTCCTTATTAACAGGTGCACTTCCTAGTAATACATTCTTTATCGGAAGAGTATATTTTTAAAAAATGGCGCACATTATCCGGAATTCGTTTTTGGATTAAAAACAACGGAACATAACAATTATTTTTCCATCCATAATATTCCAAATTATCTGTTCCAATTTTTGCAATGTTGCTATGGTACCATATTCCTAATTGATGAATACATCTACAATGTACCATAAATATAATTATATTTTATCTACTCGGGCTTTCTTACAAACAATAAATTAAAATAAACATGATTTACCTTAAGAAATGTTGATAAAAAGCGGAATCAGTTGGTGGTAATTTAGTAGATGGTTTATTAGTGTTTGTAGCCATTATTTTATTATTTAAAACATTTATTCACCTGTTAAATATTTAAAATATATACAACATTACATAAAATAACAGAACACTTTTCCTATCAGAAATGTGCCGGCCTTGCAGGTACCCGCTGGGCCAATGGCGATATCTTCACCTATAGTATGCATTGTTGTTTATTAATTTTGAATTTGGCTAAATATAGCAGCCCTTACTCCTTACCAGGGAGGCATAATTAAGGGATTAAGGATGTCTTGAAGTCAGTAATTGTAATGGTTTGTAGATTTTTCTTGTGTTAGTTATCTTTATTGTCCCCTGAAAAAGCTAGTAAAAATCAGGGTTGTCTTTGTATGTAAATGGTCCTGTTCGTAGTATATGTTTTTTGTCACAATTCTCAAGACAAGTGGCCGAAAAGCTCTCCGAAAGTGTCGCAATCGAGGTGTAAAGTGCTCTCGACTGGGGCCCTGTCGGCCGGCTCATCGCTCAGTCGTCCTTCCGACTAGATTTCGTAAGTATCCATGTCGTGAGATGTGTGCTTCAGTCTGTCGCTGTGGAAGGTCCTGTTACTGTCTTCCTCCGATACATGTATGAGCACGGGATAAAACCCATGGTCTTATATGGGTCGGAGGTGTGGGGACAAAGATACAAAGACACTA